CTAAAACTAAAAACAAACTAAAAACTACTTCCAAAAACATTCAGCTTTGATATTAATGAGTTTTTTGGGTTCATTTAGAACATGGTTGTTGTTCAATAATAAAATTATTCCTCAAAAATACAACTTGCCTAATAATTCTGCACTCCCTGTATATTTTTGCAAATGCAATATCTCCAGAGAACAATATCTGTGTTTTACATACTTTACCTCCATTGTTGATAGAATCTGCCATCAGGGAGTAACTATTGGAGCAACTATTTATGCTCCAAAGACTGTTTAATAGTTCACATTTTGAAAAAGGCTACAAACTCTCTGCCTGTCCTTTCATCTCACAAACAATTGGAGCACTTTCTAAAAATTAAGCAATAGATAGCAAATAAACAAAACACTGTGCACGATTTTTATACTTTACAGCGCCATGCCCTAAAATATGCCCTAAGGTCCATATAAGTGTCAATACAATAACAAACAGAGTGTTTTAACATTTTCCATACATGCACGTGGCACCAGGACAAACTAGGTCACAGGTTGATAATTCTGACCACTCCTCTTACACTGTTAGATGAACCCTTTTGTTTTCACTCAGGATCATGTGACCTTTTGTAAAGTTGTTTAGTGCCTCATTTCCTTTCATTCTGTAAAGCAGTGTAGTGCATCTTAGGTGATGTACAAAGTGTTAGTTTAACTCTTTCAATTTTACTCAGGTTTGTGTGATTTCTTGTACAGATTTTACAGTAATTTAACTCTGCAGATTAACTTTTCAGCAGATTAAAGACATTTTGTCCAAAAGAAGCCATGAAACAGGGTAGAAGAAACCATTTACACGAAAATGAACTAAAACTAAACTTAAAAAATAAAACTAGACGTGAAAAAAAACCATTTAAATATTTTTTTTAATAATCTGCCGATCCCGACTCTTATTTGAAAATGAAAAACTATGCTTTCGATATGGACATATAGAAATATGTCTCAGAAGGGTTGCATATTGATACGATATGACACACAAGAAATGATTTGTACACATTTGTTTCATGCTGAGACCTGAATGCAGAAGCTGGAAGGCTTGAATTTGCCTCAAAACCCCATGTAGGTGAGCAACACGATCTGTGGGTATCAGGCGTTTTATTCACGCATATTTAGGGTTTTGTGAATGAGCAAGAGACATGTTGCATGTAGCTTTAGACATTTGAAAGTCAAAGTGATCGGATTCATGAAGCTGAACGTAAAAATTATTTGTGGTCAGATTGCTTGGTATTTGTGTGTGGTTACACACAAATCATTGGATACATTTCTAAAGCTTAGTTTATGCTTGTAGATCATATCGTACGCATTTTTATTTAAAAGTAGGCCTGCACATGCCCGTGTTGTTTATTCTCCTATTCAAGTGTCTGTTAAACAGTTCTTAAAAAGCTCTTCTCCTTTTTATGAAATCTTATTATTCTTGTAATAAGTTTATGCATTATCCTCTCTGAATCGCATCATTTTCTTAGCCCCCACCTGCACCACACAAACCACAGACACACACAAGCACGCATGGCTCTTTTTGTCAAAGTGTTCGGCTGGAGGGTCTAAAATTTGATGTTGAGGGTTCATGTATGTACCCCCTATCTAGACAGTGATAACCACATTATAATATCTGTCCCACTACACCAGACTTTATGACCTGTTATTGTTTGCAACCTAGAAATGTACCTAATGCAATCTTATCACCACCAGCTTTAAGGTTAAATCACAACCCATTAATCAGACTGTGTAGCCACAAAGAATGGGGGGAAAAAAGCATTAAACAACCTACCATTACCGAAGAGATCTGTCCGTCTAAACTTTTCTTCTTCTGCACTGTTGGCAGTAAGACAGTTTTCCTGTTTCTGTAGATAAGTCACATCCTTTGAATTCTTCAAATAGTGTAGTGCAGCGGGATTCACCCCTTTATACCGTCAGATGGAACACTTTCATTTTCACTCAAGATCATGTGATTTCTTGTAAAGGGGTTTAGTGTCTCACTTACTTTCATTCCCTAGTTGAGGCCATTTTAT